ACACACAACTTTAGCTCTTTTTAGTCACCAGAAGACCTCCTCCCTGCTCCCACCCTTTCGGTAACCTCTGTGGAGCACAGGCTCGCCATGCTCCGCTCCCCCTGTAGCGCCGGGACCACAACTTCTCCCACATTTGAAAACAAACATACAAGCTCATCTCCCGCTGGAAGTCATCTTCGGGATCGACAGCTTTCTGGTCCTTGTTCTGCGGTGTTGACAGAGGTCCACTGATTTCCGGCACCGGACCGAGGGTGACATCAAGCCTTTCAACCCATTCCAGATCCCGCTTGAATTCTGCCAAACACTGCTTCAGGCCATTCTAAAAAATTCAGACACTGCGCCCCTAAGAAGGGGAACCCTTACGATGTCTCTCCCGAGCCCAGGGTGCTAGGCCCACGGGCAAATTGCTAACCCCCACACCCCAACGCATAACCGACCCTCCTGACAACGCACAGGCTGCCTCCTTCCCAGGACAAGAACTCAGCCACCCAAGCGTAACCGTTCCCTGCGCTCAGCTCACGCCCCAGCACCCCGACTCGGCGCCCGAGCTCACCACGTCGTTCACGGCTTTTTTCGGACCCTCAAGCACGACATTGAGGCCTGGCTTCAGAAGCCCTCGGGAAAACGCGTCCTGCAACTGCAGGGCACGATCGGCGTCAGTTCCAGGAGAGGAAGGACGTCCCTCTCCCCCCTCGCCCAGCCAGGCGAGCTCGGCTGACACTTACCTCTCTGTCTGTGACAAGAGATTCCTCAGAATCCGAGTCCGAGCCGGAGGGCAGGGGGGTGTCCATCTCGCAGCACGCACGTGCAGCACCTACCAGAGGTCCGGGTAGGCCCAGGCCCGTGCGGCGGGAAGAGGGCGCCTTCCGCCGCTGCTGCCTGCCTTCAGCCCCCTACCCTCACTCCGCGGCTCCACGTGGAGGAGAACGGCTGGGTCTTCACAGAACTCTGGCCAGGGACCATGTCCACCGTGGTAGCACAGTCGCTGCATGCTTTTGGTCTTCGATCCCACGTGGCCAACAATGTATTCTTCTTCGACGAACAGATCATTATATTTCCTTCAGGGAATTACTGTGTGAAGTATAATATGGATCAGAAATGGCAAAAATTCATTCCAGGTAAAACCCTTTCCATCCTGACACATTAACCTTATGTGGCAAAAATAACCTCATAATTCCAACATGATGATTGAAAGGAAAGTTTTCTGGCCAACTCCCATAAACATATAGTTCTCTAAATGTAGACGAAATACATGTCTACTTGCATTACATGCAAATATCACATGTAAAAGAATATTAATTTAAAAGCACGTTTTCACTGTGATTTAATGAAAAATTATTTTAACAAGCCCCTTTTCATGCTTCTTCAATATCATGTCTTTGTCATCACCTAGGCCAATTTTTGAGTTGTCTAACACTGTTTTCTAGAGCACACCACCCTCAATCCAGCACCTTTTGAATTCATGTGTGATGAAGACACTGGAGATTTTATCCCAAGTCACAAATATAACTATTTGTACAATGTTACATTGTTTTTGTTCATTGATGATATACATCATTTCCACAACTTAATCACTTAGTTCCTTTTCCGCTCTTTGTTGCATATAGTATGACCATATATGTGTAGCCCCATGTAAGATATAGTTTTGTGTTTGCTAGTTACTAACTTTATATAAATGGAATCATAGTATATGCTTCTGTTGTTCAACATCAGGCTTTTGAGATCCTGAATATTACATGCATCTTGAATTCATTTTATTGCTACATCTATGAATCTATTGTCTCAAATATATCTATCCATTCCAGTGTTAATGGACTTTTTGGGAAATAACAGTTTTTTGGTATTACAAATCATGCTAGCATAAAATGTATTGCATTCATATATGCTTGTCCACTTGTGCAGAGATTCTTCAGGGCACACAGCCAGGACAAAAATTACTGGGTAATATGGTAGTACCAATTTACACTCCCACCAGGAGTACATGAGACTTGCCATTCCTCCACAACCTCACCAACCCTTGGTATTGTCCACATTTCTATTTTTTTGCTAATCTAGTGATTGAGAAAGGGTATCTTATTGTTTTTAATGTTATATTTCTCTATTACTAATGAGGATGAATTTTTTTCACATGCTTATGGGCTATTCCTATTTAGTCTCCTCGGCGGGAAGGGGCGCCTTCCGCCGCTGCTGCCTGCCTTCAGCCCCCTACCCTCACTCCGCGGCTCCACGTGGAGGAGAACGGCTCCAGCGCCCACTACACTCCGCAGCGCAGAACTTCTAGATCAGACTTCCGCTTCCGGTCGCGGACCTTCACTTCCGGTCTTCCGTTGCTATAGGAACCGCTCCGGCGTCGGAGAGTGCCCGAGTTGTTTGGGATCCGTAGGATAACTACCCCTAGATACACGAGTGGTCTGGTGACTTGGAGGAGAAGCGTAAGGTGGGAGGGGGGACCCGGGGGTCGTCCGGAGGAGCAGGAAGCCGCGAAGGCTCAAAGGAAAGGGGAGAAACTAAGCCGCGGTGGGTTTGAGGGGTGCTGGCGGGGGAGCGGGGTGTGTGTGTGTGATATCACATGTAAAAGAATATTAATTTAAAAGCACGTTTTCACTGTGATTTAATGAAAAATTATTTTAACAAGCCCCTTTTCATGCTTCTTCAATATCATGTCTTTGTCATCACCTAGGCCAATTTTTGAGTTGTCTAACACTGTTTTCTAGAGCACACCACCCTCAATCCAGCACCTTTTGAATTCATGTGTGATGAAGACACTGGAGATTTTATCCCAAGTCACAAATATAACTATTTGTACAATGTTACATTGTTTTTGTTCATTGATGATATACATCATTTCCACAACTTAATCACTTATTTCCTTTTCCGCTCTTTGTTGCATATAGTATGACCATATATGTGTAGCCCCATGTAAGATATAGTTTTGTGTTTGCTAGTTACTAACTTTATATAAATGGAATCATAGTATATGCTTCTGTTGTTCAACATCAGGCTTTTGAGATCCTGAATATTACATGCATCTTGAATTCATTTTAATTGCTACATTATGAATCTATTGTCTCAAATATATCTATCCATTCCGGTGTTAATGGACTTTTTGGGAAATAACAGTTTTTTGGTATTACAAATCATGCTAGCATAAAATGTATTGCATTCATATATGCTTGTCCACTTGTGCAGAGATTCTTCAGGGCACACAGCCAGGACAAAAATTACTGGGTAATATGGTAGTACCAATTTACACTCCCACCAGGAGTACATGAGACTTGCCATTCCTCCACAACCTCACCAACCCTTGGTATTGTCCACATTTCTATTTTTTTGCTAATCTAGTGATTGAGAAAGGGTATCTTATTGTTTTTAGTGTTATATTTCTCTATTACTAATGAGGATGAATTTTTTTCACATGCTTATGGGCTATTCCTATTTAGTCTCCTATGAAATGCTTTATTCATCTCTTTTACCCATTTTTTTTTTGTATGGGAGTTTTTGGCTAATTTTCTTATTGACTTTTGGGCACACTTTCTATATTCTTTATACCAATCTTATGTATTGCAAATAATGTCTCCCAGTTTGGGGCTTGTGCTTTCTCCCTCCTTATGGTACCTTGATGGACAGAAATTCTTCATTTTAATGAAGTTCATCAACATTTTCCTTTTTGTGTTTTCTTCAGGAATTGTTCCTTAACTCAAGCTTATGAATATATTATCCTATATTATCTCCTTTATGCTTTATACTTTTGTCTTTCACCTTTGAGGCTCTGAGTTAGGAGGGTGCTTAGTGTGTTAGGAGAATAGCAAGGAAGTCAGTGTGGCTGGAGTGGAGGGAATGGAGGAACAGGGAGCGAGAGGTGAGGCAGAGAAGTAATGGGGAGCAACATCACATAGGGCTTTGTAGGTCATAGGCTCTTACTCTGAGTGAAATGAGAAGTCATGGGGGGATTCTGAGCAGAAAGAATAGCATCATCTGACTTATGTTTCAACAGGTTCATTTTGACCACTGGGTAGAGAATAGCTTTAAGGAGGGACAAGGGAGGGAGCAGGAGACCAGTTGAGAAACTATTGCTACAATCCAGGTGAGAGAAAATGGTGTCAAGGAGCAGGTTGTAGGTAACAGGAATGGTGAGAAGAGATCAAATCCTGGATATACTTTGAAAGTGGAGGTAACAGATTTTCTCAGAAACCAGGTGTAGGGTGGAAGAGAAAAAGAAGAAGCAAGATTTCTGGCCTGATTAAGCAGAGGATGGAGTTGCTGTTAAGTGAGAAAGAGATCTTAGCCATAAAGCACAGTAGACACAGAGCCTAGGACTCATGAGAATGTTTTCATTTTAACTTATTTTAAAATCAGGGAAAAAGTATAAAAATAAATCTGTCATAATGAATCTAGCCTGGCTCTATTTCTCTTTATACCAATGCAATCACAAAATATACTTTTTAAACTTTCTTTAATGGAGGAAGGGGCTCCTGAAAGCAATAGTATCTAGGACCCATGAAAATCATAACGTGATTGCATTTCCCAGATAAAGTATGTGCACTTTAGTGTTTGCCTCCGGTGGTGTGTGTAGAGGACCATAATTTGTGTTATCCCATGGTTGCAAGATGAATTGCTGTAATTCCAGATACCACCCCTAGATTCCAGGGACAGGGGGAGAGAATGTATCCATCCCTGGTTTTCAAGAAAGCACAAGCTTTACCATAAAGCCAGTCCAGCAAACTTCTGCATCTATCTCATGGCAAGAATGTCACATAGATCACCTAACTGCAAGGAAGGCTGAGGAATCCAGTGGTTAGCATCCCAGCCTAGAGAGCAGAGGGAGAGTGTTGAGTGCTGCCCACTCAAGGCATAGAGGCCTATGTAATATGACCCTATCCCACTGCTCTAGACTTATCTGATAGTGACCAACCCTGGCTCACATGGGATGCTCCAGCAATATCCCACTTTCTCACATCCACACGTTTTCTCCTCCTCCCACCTGTCCCACCCCTTCCCTGTCCCATTTTGTCCTCTAGGGATTGATCCCTGACTTCTCCTCCTACCTTGGCCTCAGGGAGGTGCCCGCCCTGGTCATTGTTCTAATTACCCCAGTCATAGTTGTACCAAGGAGCTTCACAGGTTGACAATGACCTATTTCTGCACTTTTCTCCTATTGCATCAGCAGTGCCTACCACTATGCCTGGTTCATATTGAATCTTGGCGATCTACCCTCACTATTCCGTTTTACCTGTTTGCAGGCTCAGACAAGAGTCAAGCCATGTTAGCCTTGTCCATCAGTCCCAATCGGCGATACCTCGCTATCTCTGAGTTGGTGCAAGAAAAACCTGTCATCACCATTTATGAACTGTCATCCATCCCTTGCCGGAAGCGTAAAATCCTTAATAACTTTGACTTCCCGGTTCAGAGATTTACTTGCATGGCTTTTTCTCCAGACTCCAAATACCTATTGACTCAAACATCGCCTCCAGAGTCCAACCTTGTCTACTGGCTATGGGAAAAACAGAAAGTAATGGCCATTGTTAAAACCGACACTCAGAACAACATTGTCTCCCAGGTACCTCCCAACATAACAAGTATCATGCAAACTATTTAAAATAGTATGAGCTGTATTTTAGTGAATGTTTTCTATGTACTAGAAGCAGTGCTCATTTCTTAACATGGGTATTTAACTTTAGTCTCACAATTGTATATGGTATTCATGGTTATCCCTATCATACTGATGTGGGAACTGAGGCTCCAAGAGGTTAAGTTACTCACGTAAGATCACAGAGGTATTGAATGGCAGGGCCAGGAGCCCAGTGCCTGTCTTCTTTACTCTGGCCTAGAACTGCTTTCTGGTCCCAGGTTCAGCCCAGAGGTGAAGTGATCCAACTCGCTCTCCCTTTCTGGTTCTGGCCTCTTTTCAGCATCATGGCTAGGCAATGGGAAGATTTCCGGGAGTGATGTGAAGTGGTAGATCTTTAAGAAGCTGTCAATGAACTTGTAGTTATATGGGGAGCAGAGTTTCCTATTGTGATTTGAAGGCAAAATAAAGAGCACCTGTTAGGAAGCTGGTTCACTGCTAAGGCAGTGAGTCCCAAGGAGTTTTATCCTGGTGCAGTCAACCCAGTGTAGGATCTAGAACTCGGTTTTACAGGCTGTCAGGAACTCGGCTTTATTCAGTGGACTCAGTCATTCCCACAGGAGGCTAGTGCATAAACCAGCACCTCAAGACCAGAGCACTCACATCATTTATCCAGTGTATTTCCACTCTAGGAATAGAGAACTTGGAAGTGAAATCAGCAATTAGAAGGCTCCTTGGTGATCACAGAATCAGGGAGAGCCGAGGGTCATTTCCTCCAGGCCAGAGCGAGGCCTGTGCAGCATCTCCACTCAGAGCAGAGAGCACCTTAGATGCAATGCACATTCATTAGATGTTCACTATGAACCCAGCGCTGGGAATACAGAGAGGAAAAAGCCACAGCCCCTCAAGTTGCTCACCATCTAATGGGGGTGACAGGTTGACTGCCTGTCACTGTACGTGGGGATGAGGAGGGTACAGATAAAGGAAGCTCGGTTGGCAGGAGACCAGATAGCAGCCCCTGACATTTGGTTCCTTCCCCTGATCAGGGCACATAAACCTGCCAGACCCTCCTGTTTCGGTGTTTGCAGCTGAGCCTTCATTCCTTTTTGTTGATACAGTGCTCGGCCATTGTCAAGACCTGCTCATTTGGTTTTGGCCTCTGTAAAATGACTTTTGTAGGTTTCCTAGTTTAAAACAACTGGCCCCACAAATATAATGGGTATAGATCTGTGCTCTTCTTAAATATGGTATCAAAAGTATAGTGGTTTAGTGATGTTTCAAGGATACTCTGAGTTACCTGAAATAAATATTACTTGGTAAAATGGGAAGTAATTCCATTAAGATTAGTTTTATAAAGCTTTGTCTTTCGTTCTTTCACACTCTGCAGGTGAGCTTCAGTCCTCAGGATAACACGCAGGTGTGTGTCACTGGAAATGGGATATTTAAGCTTCTCCGCTTTGCCGAGGGAACCCTGAAGCAAACCAACTTTCAGAGGGGAGAACCCCAAAACTACCTCGCCCATACCTGGGTGTCTGATGACAAGATTGTCGTTGGCACCGATACAGGCAGGCTCTTCCTCTTTGAATCTGGAGATCAACGCTGGGAGACAAGTATAATGGTCAAGGAGTCCACCAATGAGCTGAAGAACCTGGAGATGATGCAGGAATCAGAGAGGTAATGGCACCCCGCTGGTGCTCCTGTAAAAATATGCTCCTCGTACTAATAGCGTCATATGAAAACCAGCATTCTTTGAAAATCACTCATTACCTCTCTACCTTAAAAACCAACTCTTCATTTTCCCTCTGCCTTTCTAGTGTTCATCCATATTCAAGCACAAATTGGACAGTTATGACCATAGCCTAGATACAGTTCTCTTTATTTTTATACCTAACCTCATTTTATAAGCATTTTAGTATGACTGGTCTTCCAAATTACAGATTTTCCAAATTATATTTTCCAATGGCTGCCTAATTTACTGAATCAATTGAATAAATGTCCACCGAGCACTTGCAGTGTGCCAGACATCTTGCTAGATGCTGGGCACACAGATCCCCCAGGACCTTGCAATTCAGTAGGAGGCAGCAGACCAACAAAGAGGTGCAAGGAAATGTCAACAGAAGCATATGGGCTAAATTAGAGGTTCAGGGGGGGAGCTATCAATCTTACCTCTACCAATAGCCTCTCACCCATATTGAGCTGTACCATTGTATGGACTAGGCACTGCTTAGATATATTCTCATTTGAGTCTTACCCTATACAGTCCATATTATTATCATGCCCATTTTATAGACAAGGAAACTGACACTCAAAGAGGTTAACTGGCTTACCCAGTTAGCACTGAGAAGTAGCAGGGTCAGGATCAAACCCAGATCTGTCTGACTCCAGAGCCTGAGCCCTCAACCATAATGGCATACTATAGCTCCTTCTTCCTCAATAACTTTCAGTCCACCATTTTCACCGTTCCTGCCAATGATGTCTCTTCTGTTGTGATTTGCTTAAGAGCTTCCTAATAAGTTTCCATGCCCTCCAGTTTGCTGAGTTCACAATCCTTCAGTGGGTCCAAACTTCTGAACGTGGTCCACATGTCTGCTACTCTGTCCCTTCTGTACTTCTAGAGCAATGGCTCTGCCCTCTACGGACGATGCGTGCCTCATGCATGCTCTTGCTTCTGAGCTTGGTAATGTGTAGTTCCCCTGCCCCCCTTCACACCCCACTCCCATGGACGCATACACATATGTGACGTACTGTTGCTCGTTCTTCAGATCTTAGCTGGGAGGGCTTAGCCTCTGCATATCTCTGGTCAGTACACCTTCCCTATAACTGTATTCAGAAAATCCTTGCTACCTATTGACTGGCTGTTCCCATCCTACTGAGCTACTCCCTAACAGTCCTATCACATGTGCTCTAGAACAGCGGTCGCCAACCTTTGAGACCTCATGGACCACCAGTGGTCTGCGGACCACTGGTTGGCGACCATTGCTCTAGACTATAACCTTCTAAAGGTAAATAAGATGTATCAATCTTATTACCACTAGCGGCCTGATGCACAAAATTTATGCAAGGGGCTTGGCCCTTGCAGCCCCTCGAAGCCCCAACTTCATCTGGAAGGTCTGGACGTTTGGTCTAATTAGCATATTAGCTCTTTATTATATAGGATTTTTTACAGAGTTGTTACCGCCATATAACACCAGTATATCTATAATAATAAAAGCGTAATATGCTAATTAGACCGGACAGCCAGACGACCTTCCAGACAAAGCCGGGGCTTTGAAGTCTGAGGCAAGCCGCCATGGCTGGGTAATTTCTCCCACACCCAAGGGCTGATGCAAGCCACCGCAGCTGCGAGAGCCAAGCCCCTTGCACAAATTTCATGCATCGGGCCTCCAGTTGTTAGATGAATGAATGAGAAGAGTAGAGAGAGAGGGAAGGAGGAAATGGATACCTTGATACAAATTTCAACTCTTCTACTTACTAAGTGTGTGATTTTGGAAAACTCAATCCCTTGAGTCACTTTTTTCTAAACACCAAAATGAGGATATTAATAATATACTACTAACTAGAGGCCTGGTGCATGAAATTCGTGCATGGGTAGGGTCCCTAGGCCTGGCCGGCAATCAGAGCCAATCTGTGGAGTGACTGGCGGGGTGATTTGGGGGACCCCCACTGGCACCCACCTTGGCTGGCCTGCGCTGCCCACTTGCTGGCCCCACCTGCTCACCAGCCGGCACCACCCCCCCATCACCCCACCACTGCTGCCAGTCGCCTTTTTCAGTGGGGCGACCAGCAGGGCAATTGAGGGGAGGGGCCCACTGGCACCTGCCTTGTTTGGCCTGGGGCCTGTGAGCTGGGGGCAGCTCCTGTGTTTAGTGTCTGCCCCCTGGTGGCCAGTGCACGTCATAGTGACTGGTCATTCTGCCATTCAGTCGATTTGCATATTAGGCTTTTATTATATAGGATAGTGACAATAGTAGTAGTGACCACACAGGGTTGTGAGACTACCAAATAAATGTGTAACTTTCCAATCTTCCTTTGGAGTTTGTGTGGCATTCCCAGGGCGAAGGGCAGTGTTTTGGCAATGGGAAAGGGGTTCACACTGGGTGGTTTCTCCCACACCCAAGGGCAGCCCTTCTTTCTCATCCCTAGCAGAATTCCTCCCCTGGGGATTGTCTCTGTAAACTTTACATGCTGTTTTCTTTTTCTAGCTTGATCGAATTTCCAACACTCAGTTCCCCAGTCCCTTCCTTTGAACAGATCTTGGAGACCGATAGCCACAGCCAGCAGTCCATGCCCCAGGTGTTTGCCATTGCAGCCTACTCAAAGGGATTTGCCTGTTCTGCTGGGCCAGGGCGAGTTCTACTGTTTGAGAAGATGGAAGACAAGGATTTTTATCATGAGAGCAGGGAAATCCGGGTAAGGAGAGAAGGAATAAGCAAAACTGGGGTCCTCCTGACATTTGTTCTCCAGCAGCAGAGCACGGACAAGGAGTCTGACGGGGAGAAGGGGTGTAGCGCTGAGCAGCAAGGGGGATTTGAGTAGTTTGTCCTGAGGAAGTTTTAGGATGGGCTGGACAGAATTGGGGTTTAGAATTGGGATGATCTGGATTTCAATCCTGGGAGAGAACTTTGGCAAATTCTATTTCTCTTTGAAGCTTAGTGCTCCCATGAGAAATTGTATTACGATGATACATATTGATATTTAATATTGATATTTAATGTCCGGTGTACTACCACGCACACAGTGAGGATTTAGTAAATGTGTGTGGAATAAACGATACACACTGTTTTGAAGAGAGGGCCTATCTAGTTTGGAAAGAACCAGGAAGGCTTCTGGGTGTTTGATTGTAATTGTTGAAGAAAGACCTCAGAGGATGGGTAGCGCTTAAAAGAAACAGATTAGGAATTCCAGGCGGAAGGAACAAATTAGCAGAGGCACCACGGACAGGGGGCGGGCAGTGTACTTGGGGTACCTTGTGTTCCCCGGTGGAGAGGGACTGGCATCACTTGAAGGGAAAAGGTGAGAGCCCGTGCGGGTGAAAGCTCCAGCCGCGCATTGCGGGGCCCTGGGCAGGAAGTCGCTAAACACACATTGAGTGAGTTAGACGTGACTCTGCTGCTTAAGATGAGCATCTGAGTCCCGCAGAATCTGTGTGTCTTCAGTTTTGTGGGAGACAGCAGTGGGGCAGCACGCACAAGGCCCTAGGTCTGCGGCTCCCATTCTACTCTACACAGCAGAGTGTCACACAGATGTGACAGCAGAGGGAACTGTCAGGTGCTGTGGGCACATTGAGGGAATATCAGTGGCCGACCAGCCCAGCACAGCACCGGTCAGGGGCTTCCCAGAGCTTTCGTTGTCCTGTGGAGCAGGGGCAGTTGCCTATGTGAAAAGGGTGAAGAACTCCAGGCAGAGGGAGGGAAGCAGGAGGGCCCGGTGTCCTGGACCCCAGGGAGGTGGTGCCACCGTCACAGCTGCAGGCTCTAGAAAAGTCAAGAGGATGAGGACTGAGCATCTGGCTTTGGTGATAAGGACATTTCTAATGCGTATGAGGACAGTGGAAGGACATTTTATTTATCAAATGATAAGGAATTAAGAAACTGAGTGGGTGATAAGGAAGAGGAGATGGTATGTGTAGGCCAACCTTTCAAGAAGCTTGGTTGTTCAGAGAAGAAAAGCAATAGCAGGGAAAAGGAAATCGAATTTTATAATGCCGACCTGGGAAGTACAGGCCCCCTCAGAGGCTGCTGGCAGGAGCTGTGTGACCCCTTCTCTTTTCTCTGCCCTGGCACCTACCCACATGGAAGAAGGGCTGTCACCTTCCCCTCTGCCGCCCTGAAGCGCACACTGGTATCCTCGGTGCAGGTGGGCGCCTGCCCTGGGGTACACAGCCTATCCCAAGTGAATTCAAGAGTGGGAGT